GACCTTGTGTAGATAATGTGTAGATAATATGGAATGTAGACTAAGAGTCTACATTAGTGAGCAAAACAAGATATCAGAATGACCTATGTATAAACAAAATGCAGCTGTTGCTCATTATTGCCTGTAACAAAAGGTATAAATGCTTGCTGTAATTGTTTACCTGTTGAGAGACCTGTTTAGCTCTCTCCCTCTATGCAATTGATAGAGAGATAATAAAGTATCTGATTTGCTGTACCCAAACAAAAAGTGAGAACTCTGTTATTCTCCGACAGTGCCCAGACACTGCACAGGCACAGTCTGGGAGGAGTGGGGTCACTCATGGGCTTTTACAGAGATTATATTCCATACAGGAAAGCACAGAGACACTTGTACCTGCTGTCTCTGCAGAGGCCTGTTTTATGGCATTCTTAATAGTAAGAATAAAAAAATTGTGCTGCTGACTCATTTTGGCTGATGGTGCCTGATTTGGCAGGCTGAGTAGTAACCCGGAGAAGAGACATGGAGTATAATTCAAAGGTGAATTATTACAGCTGGGCGTTAGCCATTTTAATGGGCTTTTCAGCGTGAGGATCGCTTTTCCTGGATAGCTGTGCTTGTCCAGCCAGAGGCAGCGCCCACCCCCCAGCCCCCAACACACATCCCTTCTTCCTTCCCACTCCTCCACCATTGGTGAGCAAAGGACTGTAGGGCTAATAGAACCGCTTCTCCTTCCAGATCAAACACCGGGAAAACCCCAGGAGGGAGAAGTGGTGCAAGCCTGGGAGGCTTCTTAATTGGGCTGATGTCGAGGAAGCTGCACCATGAGGGTGGGGCGGGAATTCTCCTTCCCTATCTAAGGAAGGAAGATGTATCTCTTCGGAAAGAAAATACACACACACACCCTTTGCAGCGATCCACTGTAATTACACACACACACACACACCCTTTGCAGCGATCCACTGTAGTAACAAACACACACACACACACTTTGTAGAGATCCTCTGTAATTACACACACACACACACACACACACACACACAGCCTTTGCAGTGATCCACTGTAACTACACACATACACACACACACACACAGCCTTTGCAGTGATCCACTGTAATTACACACACACACACACACACACACAGCCTTTGCAGCGATCCACTGTAACTACACACACACACACACAGCCTTTGCAGCGATCCACTGTAATTACACACACACACACACACACACACACACACACACACACACACACACACAC